TTGTTTTTTTTTTCTCCTGAGAGGGAGTCTCACTCTGTTGTACAGGATGTAGTGCAGTGGTGCAGTCTCAGTTCACTGCAACCTCCACCTCCCAGGCTCAAGCAATTCTCCTGCCTCAGCCTCCCAAGTAGCTGGGACTGCAGGTGTACGTCACCATACCCGGCTAATTTTTGTTTTTAGTGGAGATGGGTGGGATATCACTATGTTGGCCAGGTTGGTCTTGAACTCCTCATCTCAGTTGATCCGCCCACCTTGGTCTGCGTCGATTACAGGCATGAGCCACAAGGCCTGGCCTTAACTTTTATTCCTGTTTTTTTTTTTTTTGAGACGGAGTCTTGCTCTGCCGCCTAGGCTGGAGTGCAATGGCGTGATCTTGGCTGCAGCCTCCACCTCCTGGGTTCCAGTGATTCTCTTGCCTCAGCCTCCCAAGTAGCTGGGATTACAGGTGCACGCCACCACGCCTGGCTAATTTTTGTATTTTCAGTAGAGACAGGGTTTCACCATGTTGGCCAGACTGGTCTTGAACTCCTGACCTCAAGTGATCCACCCATTTCAGCCTCCCACAGTGCTGGAATTACAGGCATGAGCCACTGCGCCCAGTTTAACTTTTATTCTTAACTTTTATTCTTCTGAGAGTGACAGAAGAGGAAAGACTTGTCTTTCAGAGCATAACAAAAATTGGAGAGGTTTTCATCTAGATAAAAAAAAATGGTGAGAAAAAATTATCTCTAAAAAGTGAGTGCCATGAGCAAAAATAAGAAAGCAAAGACTGTAACTAAAGAACATAGTCTTTTTATAGACAAAGCTTAAAGTCCATATAGGGAACAATGGAAAATACTATTGGAAGGCCTTGAATAGCAGGCTAAGGACTTAAGCATTATTCAGCAGGTAAGTGGTGTCAAAGGAAACACCAGTTGTGGTATGGAGGAAAATTTTCTAGTCCAGATTTCAGAAGGCTGCAATTATTGTGCCAGTGTGATACTTGGCAGTCCTTGCCCTAAACCTTGGTTTATTATTATTTTTTTTTCATTTTTCTTTTTTTTTTAAAGACAGGATTTCACCATGTTGGCCAGGCTGGTCTTGAACTCCTGACCTCAGGATCTGCCTGCCTCGGCCTCCCAAAGTGCTGACATTACAGGCATGAGCCACCACACCTGGCCAACCTCAGTTTATTTCTAAAACAGGGGTAATGAGGCAGTTGTGAGGGTTAAATGAGATCACATGACAAGATGTGCTTGCTTTGAAAATGTCAAAATGTTATAAAAATGTAAGTTTTCATTGTTGTGAGGATGTAATTGATGCTTAAAGAAGACTGATATCATAAAATCACTAAAGTGATGGCTGTAGGACTAAAAGAGGGTAATTTTTTTTTTTTTTTTTT